TGCCGGCCTCCGCCTGCGCGGGGGGCTGCCGCCTCATGTCGCCCCTTCCCGGCCTCACAAGGAGGCACGCAGGAGCTGGTACTGAGCTCACCCCCAGACCCCGCAGAGGGTCAGCTGGCCTGCCGGCAGAGCTGAGGCCTTGCAGGCCTTTCCGCTGGGTTGTCCCCGCTGCAGACCAAAGGTTGAATTGCAGCGGCTCCGAAGCCGGGGTGCTGCTCACATCCGTGTTGTGAACACCAAGATCCACCCATGCGGTTTGCTTTTCTCGTGCAATGCAATTCTAGAGTCACTACTGAGATTGTTTTTTCCAATAGTGTTTAAAAGAAATCTTTATTACAAAGCCCTTAACAGAACATAAGGTCTATACATACTGTGTATCTTGTTAACATAAAACTTTTGCAGGCTTGACTTACCACTAACTTCGGATAGCGATTTCTAACCCCATGCATTTCGGTCAGAACAACGCAGGGAAAAAAAAAAGTCATCAACTCACAAACTTCATGTTGAGACTCGCCCCCCTTTCTTCCTTGCTAGAAGCATCTTTAGAGGATTTTGCTCCACAGCTGTGAATTTTAACTGCAGCACCTGCAGTTCCTGTTTACAATGCATATCCACAGATTATTTTGATGTCAGTAATGGTGTACAATACGTGAAAATATCCCCTCTGGTTCTTTCCCATCTCCAAGGGCAGCAAGGAAGCCTTCTTGTCTCCTCCTCTGGGCTAAAGCAGCTAGGGACTTGAACGTCTTTGGCTCATAAATAGCTAAATCAGCAATCATTTTCCTATTCAGCTCCACCTGAGACTAAATGCAAGAAGAAATGTTAGTTGAGTACTGTAATCTTTAGGGACATCACTGCAATTCCTGACAATTATCTTACATTTTAAAACATTATCTTTTTTGTACTTGTACAGTTCTGAAACAGTCAGAAAACTGTCAGACATGACAACACAGTCACAGATGTCTCTCTGAGCCATTATATTTAAGTCCTTGTATAAGAAGCAAAGAACAGGAAAAAAAATCCATTCTGTCATGAAAGACTGTGTGTTACTCGTTAGCCCTTAACTTTTGTTTTGGTTCTTAGTTATACTCAAGCTTACTGATAGTGCTAGTTGCTGCTTGGGGTCTTAAAATGCATCTTGCAGTGGAAAAATGCAGGATCAAATGCTCTAAATAGTATCTACAGCGGTAAGACGATATTCTAAGATAGAGGTATTATATAAACCACTTTGTTCTTTTGGAATTTGTAACAGAGAACCTTACAGGAAAATACAGTTCTGAGACAAGAGATAGGCATCTCAGAGGAAAAAAAAAAAACAACTGAACTTATTCATGATTAGCTTTTAGATAGTACTTGATTCTCTCAGTTAAAGAATGACAACAATAACCAGGATAACCAGTGTATTAACTTCAGAAACTGTATTACTTTACAGTAAACAAGGTAGAAAGCCTATGGAGTTATCTAATTATTCAATAGCTATTTAGTTAAAATATGTTTAGTCATGTGCTATAAATTTCTCTCCTGCTTCACTTAAGAAGCAGAAACACTACCTTTTTATTATGCTCATGGTCAAGAATAACATTTTTAGTTTTACAATTCCAGAATCAACAAATTAAAATCAATTCACCAGCATATTTAAGGAATAAGGGACAATGGCACCAACTATCTGCGTTGTCCAAGCTCAGTGAAACACAAAACTAGTGAAAAAGAGTGGAGATTTTTTTTAAGCTTTTGCTAATCCAAATTTTCTATGTTTACATTTCTTCAAGTAAAAGAAAGGCAGCTGTTATACAATACCTACGGTAGCAACAGATGTAAAATCATTTTGCAAGATATTACTAAAATTGCCTGAACCTCTTTATGGAATAAATAAAAATAGTCTCAGTGCTTAAAATAAGCACTGAAAGTTTGGCGGAAGAGAGGAGGAAGGTGTGAAGCAACAATGTTCACCAGGGTAAAAGGGGATTATGCGTATTAGGAAGAGAAATAGGTTTAGAGCACAATTTAGTTCCTGGAGTGAGTGAAACTCCTTTCATAAGCGGTATCATACTACACATCACTAGAACTGGAAAGCAGGACAGTCCTGGCAGCAGTTCAGTCTGACAGAAGGAGCTTTTCAGCCCCTCCACTACACTCTATGCCAGTGCTTGGCTGAATGAGCAGCTCTTTTGCCTGCTCAAGCTCCAGTTTGGAAGTCCCCACCATTATTCTTCAAAGACTGGCATATGGAAGCTGCAGGTTCAATTCCTTCCAGTTCTGTCCTGAGGCTGTAACCTGCAATCCTTTCATATATTTTGTCAGACTACACCTGCTTGAAGGTTTTCAGGGTTTTAAGAAATCCATTTGCCTGACACTTCAGAAGACTTGTATCAGACATTTTGTCCAACTTGTTTCAAAGCAATTGTTCTTCAAGCATCATGCTTACCTTAAGCAGGTTGCTTATAAAGGCTGGGTATTTCAAACCATGTTCAAGAGAAGCTGCTTCAATTCTAGTGATCCAGAGCTAAAGGTATAAAAAGTATCATTTTGGATGATGCAATATTTTAAAATAAAGCTTTAGTCATGTTGATTTGCTCACACTTATTAAATAAAACATTCAGACCTACAATCTTCTCAGTACAACATACACCTCTACAAACTTCAGACTGTGAGCTTTCTCAGACCACAGAGGGACTATGCTTGCCCCTAAATTCATAGCACTATTTTCCACCAGCTGTTTTTAAAACATTTTGAGAGACCACCCCCCATCTTCTGGAGAAAATGGCTATTTGAGTTGAGTTCTGCTCTTCTCCCATTTTATTATTTGCTCTTTACCGCTCTTAGGAATCTCTTCTTCTCTCTTCTGGCCTTTGTAGACTTCACAAAAGCTCTCCGAACACTTCGTACAGCCAGCTTATAGCAGCGGTTCTTCCTTCCCCGAAAATGCTGAAACAAAAACAAGATGTTCTGGTTCAGTTATCTTTAAGGCTGTTTATCCCTTCAATAATATTAATATATACTCCTTTGCATTTCTACACGGCCTTTCATAAGAAGAATCACAAAATACTTTTGAAACCATCAGCTAAGTCTTCATTTGGCATATAATGCAAATATTTTTTCCTCATTTTACAGCATGGGAAACCTGAAGCTGAAAAGTTGAAGCAGGTTGAGAAATTTCAGTACAAGCAGGAGGCAACCAAAGGCAGACTTCATTTTGGGCTGTGGTTCCAAGGGGGAGGGCAGCA